CCAGCTGGTCCACGCAAGGAAAAAGCTCAGCTTTGGCGCCACCTGGTGTCAGTTACCCAAGTTTCAAGCATAAAGTCCAGGAAGAGAGAGGCACAATGAACATTTAAGCTCAGAAAATGACAGGAAAGCCCACTTTGAGCACCAAAAACAATATTTTATGCATTTTGTTCTGTGAGCGGCTGTGCAAAAGAAAGACCTAGAGCCGGTTCTTTTATTCTAAAATGTTTGAGTCTGAGATTATGACTTTTTATAGCCATTGTTTCTCATCTGTCAGATGGGGTTCATTGTACCAACCTTGCAGGTTGGCGTTAAGTACCAGAGACATGGTACATAAAGTGTCTCCCACGGTGTCTGGCACACAGTAGGTGCTCAATAAATGGGAGTAGCTGAGCTAGTAGCAATGGCTGTTGACACTGATGGGTGGGGGAAAGGTGAACCTAGGAAAGCTGACTGTGGACTGTAACTTCAGGCTATACTTGAACTTTGGTGCTGTTAGTAATTTCCTGAGAAAGGACAATGCAGTGATGCATTAAGAGCTGTGTGAGAATCCAAAAGTGCAGATGGAGCCTGGTTTCTTCAATGGCAGCAAGGCTCAAGGTCAAATTTCCTGGGAAAGGCTTTCCCCCAGGCTTGAACAAGGCTCTTAGGGCCCGCCCAACCTTTGAGAAGGTTCCAGAGACATCATAGAGAGGATGCAGCTCTGCCCGAGAGTGGGCAAACAGGGAGCTAGCAATAACGATAGGAGAATTGAATGAAGGGAGAAATAGTGGTCAGGTTCCTTCTCAGCATCCTTCCTGTGGAGAATCAATGGGCTGGATTAGATCATCTCTAGGGTCCCATACAGTTGTAATGTTCTAAAGTCCAAGGAGTTCATAACCATAGCACAAAGCTTTGCTGGTGACGATACGGGGCAACCAGAATTTTCACTCATTGCTGGTTGGATTATAAACTGGTACAGCAAGTCTGGAAACTAATTTGACAGTTTCTTATAAAACTAAACATACACCAGCCACATGACCCAGCTATTGCACTCTTGAGTGTTTATCCCAGAAAAAAAACGAAAACTTATGTTCACGCCAAAACCTGCATGTGAATGTTCATAGCAGCCCTATTTGCAATAGCAATAAACGGAAAACAACCCAAATGTCCTTCAGCAGGTGAAAGGTTAAACGTCCATATACTGGAGTTGTTCTCAGCAATAGAAAGAAACTAGCTACTGACGAAAACCTGGGTGAACCTCACATTGTGCTGAGTGGAGAAAAAGCCAGTCTCAAGAGGTTATATACAGTACAGCCCTGTTTACAGAACATTCTCAAAATGACAGGTTTATAGAGAGGGTGAGCAGGGGCCAGGGATAAGAGAGGGGGCTGCAATATAAAGTGGGGTACAAGGGAGTTCCTAAGTGTTGGGCAGTTGTGTACTTTGACTGTAATGGTGGTCCCATGAATCCATACATCAGATGAAAGTGCATCATATCACACACACACGCACGCACACACGAGTGCAGGTAAAAACGGTGAAATCTGAATAAGGTGTGTGGTCTAGTTAACAGCATTGTACCGATGTCATTAAGTTATTGTTCTGTAAGATGTCATCACTGGCAGAAGCTGGGTAAAGGGTACCTGGCACTTAACATTTTTGCAGTGGCCTCTGAGTCTCAAATGATTTCAAAATAAAAATGATATAAAAAAAGAAATGTATAGAACAGTCGGACCCACTGCTCTCTAAAAAAGAAATAAGCCTTGCTCGGGGCTGTTGGCAGTCCAAGCCAGTAGTGGGGCAAGCTTGGGCCCAGAGCCCTGGAGGACATTGTTGGTGACCACGTACGCAGAACCACGGCTGTGAGCCGTGTGCGCTTGACAGCGCTGTGGGGACACCGTGTGGTCGTTGGGAACACCTCAGGCTCTGGGTTAGCTTTTCTTTCTCTAGCTCTAGCAGGCTGGAATCTATTATTATAAACACCCTGTCCAGTCAGGCTTGAAAGACCATAAACTCAAAAGGGGTCGTCGGGAATTCTTCAGAAGTGGACAGCAGGCTCTCCTGGGTGACCTTTTCTTCTGGACACTGAGGACAGCTGAGCTGTTTCCTTGAGCTCACTAATCTGAAGCAAATTCTTCTGTTTTAAATGTTATTTCATTGAGGTAAGAGCGCTTAACATGAGACCTACCCTTTTAATGCAGTTTTCAGGGTGCAGTACAGTGTTGTTGATTGTGGGAACAAGGTTGGATAGCAGATCTCTAGAGCTTATTCATTTTGCTTGATTGGACGTTTATGCCTGTTGATTAGAAACTCCCCATCTCCACCTCGCCCAGCTCCCAGCAACCACCATTCTACACTCTGATTCTCTGAACTTGACTATTTTAGGTCCCTCATGTAAGTGAAATCATGAAGTGTTTGTCTTTCTGTCACTGGTTTATTTCACTCAGCATAACACCCTCAAGGTTCATCCGTGTTGTCACATATCACAGAATTTCCTTCTTGTTAAAGGCTGAATAATATTCTGTGGCATATATATACCCTGTTTTCTTGATCCAGTCATCCGCTGATGGACACTTAGGTTGTTTCCACATCTTGGCTGTTGTGAATAATGCTGTGATGAACATGGGAGTGCAGATATCTCTTCGAGAACCTGATTTTAATTCTTTTGGATAAGTACCCAGGAGTGGGATTGTTGGATCATGTGGTAGTTCTAGTTTTGCTTTTTTGAGAAACCTTCATGCTGTTTTTCATAGTGACTCACCGTTTTGCATTTCCACCAACAGGGAACAACGGTTCCAATTTCTCCACGTTCTCACCAACACTGGTTGTCTTTTCTTTCCTCCTCCTCCTCCTCCTTTGATAATAGCCACCCTGACAGGTGTGAAGTGAAGCACACCCTTAAAGCTACCATACTTTGGAACCCAGGAGAGGTCTGGAGAAAGTTTTCTCCAAGACAAGGCGAGGAACCGTGGGCTTGTTCTAAATTTTCAAGGAGAGGAAAATCTTAGAAAAGATTTCTTAAGGGAGCAAGTGCTTGGTTTTGGTGGATGTCCCACACGGGCTAAACCTGAGTACATCCTGCAACAGGAGGGCAAGGAGTCCACAGTGGTGGGGGAGGGGTGGGGATGAGGTGCCTGTTCCCAGGGAGTATGTGGGGGTGCTTCCTGCCCTGGCTAGTCGCCATCCCAGGCTTCTGTCTCTGAATCAGACACAGAAGTTCCATAAGAGAGACACTCAACCATCTGCCCAAATGAAGAGCTTGGGAACAAGGACAGATTTTGCCAAAGACACATCTGGAAAGTTCCACTGAGTGCGCTAACAGGAACCTGGGTTCTAAGCAGAGACCAAAACGCAGGCCTGATTCTTGGAAACCTGGAAAGCAGACAAAGTTTGCTTGTGAGGCCCCCCTCCTCTGTTCCCCTGCCTGGGTTGGTCTGCTTTTCCCTGCGAGGGCCCACAGCCTCCCACAGCTCCTGAGAACAAAGCCGCCATGACTGTCCCTCAGGCTCCGGGCCTTCCTACTCGCCTTTCCGTCCACTTTTAGAGTCCACGCAGCTGTGGCCTGCACTCTGAGGCTTCTTTTTTTTTGTTTTAGATTCTCTTCTTCTTTGAAAAGCATCTTTGTAAAATAACCGTAGTATAATGAGAAGGTATTGTTCACTCCAGAATGATGCACCGGGAAGAAGCGCTGCTGGACACTGGGGTGACACACGAACCTCATGAGCTCTATGCCGCTGTCATTTTCCACCAACAGAAATGAAAGACCATACCCTGCCATCAGGCCCACGACATCTGCCTTCATGAACTTTGGACCTCGCTGAAGGAAAATGGAACATGATGAAGCCGAGATGTCCTCTGGCTTTATGTTGCAAAATAGACCCACTGTTTCTTGGTGCCAAGATTCTCACTCTCAAAAGCATGAAGCCAGCAAAGGTGGGAGCACCTTGGGTGCAGACTCCATACGAAGGGGATAAACTTGAACTAAATTTGGTTTTGCAGCATCCAAAGCAGCATCTCCAAAACATCCTACAAGGTTTCTTCTTTTGTTACCAAACAAAAGAAGCCCCATATTTGGGGGAGTCCTTGGTGAGGCTACTTGTTTTGGTACTGGTAGAGCTTGTTGTGGCTTAGAGAAGACAATTCCAGTAGTTCCTCAGTCAGATAATGTCATCCACTCCAGAACTGTCATCTCTTCTAACATTCTGAAGCTGGACATAGAGAAATTAGAAGCTCAGTGTGCAGCCATGTGGAACCCTCCATGTTTATCAGGGCACCCAGGTCCAACTTTTCACAAAACCACGATGCTCGCGCCAAGACCATCAAAGAAAACTTCCTATTTTATGAGCCCTGTTTGGAAAATCTAAATGCTGTTAATGTTTTTGAAGTGGTCAAAAGTTTTTTTTTCTAAGCATCTTTTTCATTGGAAGAATCATCTTGGCACCTTGTCAATAGGTGGGATGTCATCAGAGCCGAAATCTCGAGTTGCCACCTTTTGCATGAATTTGGGAAGCATTGAGAGCTTTTCTCAACCAGACTCAGAAAAAGCAATACAGACAAGGTTCCCGCTGTCATGGAGCTCAAGATCTAGAGACATGGAGAAAAGAAAATAAACAGAACAAAACCAATAAAACACGATAGCTTCAGAATCCAGATGCCACACACAGAGGGGCAGGCTGCACTCAGGCATCCTTCATCTTCTAGTCTAAGTGAATGGTGTCCCCTGGTTGTGCACTGCCCAGCCAATACACCAGTATTCAGATAATTTAAAAATGCTCTGAGGAAAATAAAACAGGGTGGCTGGTGACTAGGGTGAGCATCAGTGTTACAGATTGGGTGGGCAGGAAAAAAAACCTGTCTGAGAAGATGTCATTGGAAGTGAAGAAGAAGCAAGCTGTGCTAAGATCTGCGGGAAGAGATTTTCAGGCAGAGGGAATAGCTGATGCNTATTTACTTCCAGCCTTTTTTCCATTTCCATATGCATGTATACATTCACATATATAAATTGGGATCGTACTAGATATAGTTTTAAGTCCTCCATTAAACTTTTATTGTCAGATAGCATGCAGGGAGAAAATGCATATGAAAAGTTTAAAGAATAACAAAATGTGTACTCAATCAATCCCCAGCCAGGCTGAGAAAAAATACTACTACTTTCCCCCTCGCATGCCCCTCTGTCCATCCTTTAAGGTAGCCAAATGTGGGGGAGAAATCACTTTTTTTTTAACCTTGTTCATCCATTTTACTATTTAATTTGCAGCAGGAGGAAAATATGCCTACTTTATCCAATCTGACACAGACACTGGAAGATGCCTTCCAAAGGATTTTTGTGACTTACATGGACAACTGGCGCAGGAACACGACAGCTGAGCAAGAGGCCCTGCAAGCCAAAGTGGATGCCGAGAACTTCTACTATGTCATCTTGTACCTCATGGTGATGATCGGAATGTTCTCTTTCATCGTCGTAGCCATCCTGGTAAGCACGGTGAAGTCCAAGAGGCAAGAACACTCCAACGACCCCTACCACCAGTACATTGTGGATGACTGGAGAGAGAAGTACAAGAGCCAAATTCTGAATCTAGAAGAATCCAGGGTCACCATCCATGAGAACATCGGTGCAGCAGGGTTCAAAATATCTCCATGACAAGTGGGAAAGGCATACAGCCAGCCTCTGACATCCACGTATGAAGAGATGCCCTGCCATGAAGCACATCCAAATTGTCATTGCTCAGAAGAGCCCAAGTTCCTCACTCTCTGTGGAGACTTTTCATGGAGATCATGTGGTTGGTCAAGTAAGACAGGTGACATTTCAATCTCAGTGATCGATGCTTGCTTGTCGGAGCAATATTTTATGCTGAAGACTTCCTTTACTTTCTGTGCAATGTAAATGTCATTTTAATCAATGTCAATAATGAAAATACAGCCAAATTTGAAGCAAAGTACCTGGGCAGTGGCAGTGGGGGTAGAAAGGAGAGATTTACAAAGCACTGTAGCTTCTTTCTCATGAAGCATTATTTCGTGTGTGACTAACTGAATTTATAAATAACCCAGATGTATTAATAACCTTGAAGCTGAGGTTCAAAATCGACCCCTTGCTCACTAGAGTGACATAGAAGCATTTACAATTCATGAATGTAGAGTCTGAAGTGACAATGAACAGAGCTATGGGGTTACTTTATGGGTACTGCTTTCCTGGCATTTAACTTATTTGGAAGTCTGGAGACAGAACAAACGTTTCACAGGGGCAACTAGTGCACACCAGAGAAGTAGAATCTTTAAGAACTACCCAGTGCA